CCAAAATGGCCTGAAAACAGCCTGGAAAACAGCCAAAAAACAGGCCATTTTTCGGGCCATTTTCCCGCCATTTTCCCGCCATTTTCTGGCCGTTTTCTGGCCATTTTCGGGCCATTTTCAAGCTGGGTTTTGGGCTGTTTTTCAGTCGTTTTTCGGCTGTTTTGGGGTCATTTTTTGGGCCAGAAGCGGCCCAGAAAACTGCCGAAAAACGGGCCGAAAAACAGGCAAGAAACAGGCATGCGCACGCCAGCCAGCTGGTGTTTGGGTTTCTGGCGCTCTGGTGGACTTTGGGTTTCCAGCACAAGCACGCGCATTCCAGTTTGGGCACTCAGTGCCGAAAAGGTTCGCCATCACTGCCCTATAACATTTCAGACCAATTATTGATCCCAAGAATGTACCCTTGGGTTAAGAAGGGAATTGAGGACTTGTGGACCCTGAGAAGAGAGCAGAGGGATATGTCACGTTTCAAAAGACTACGCACCAAAAATCCATCGATTGCTTGGGCCTTCGCCACCACCCCTGCCCCCCAAAAAAGGACTACCACCACCCCAACCTCCAGAGCTGAATTTTGAAGGAGGTAGATAGAACATCTTTCCTTCTGGAGAGAAGGAAGACCCATCGCGCCAACGTCTCACCTGAATCGGCTAGAATGGGCTGTAGTTCTTGAGCCAAAATTTTGGCCAAACGGGAAGCTTCTAGCGCTTTTTCGGCTGCCCCGAGGGCAGCGGCCGCCTTCAGACGAGCATCTGCAGCCCTGAGGTGGAGAAAGTTTTGGGTCAATGAGGAAAGAAGGTCCTTTCTGAAGACTCTCCTTCTCAGGTGGGCCCTCCATGATTCTCCCTCAAAGAATCGATGGAGAAAGTATTGGGTCACTGGAGAGAGAAGGTCCTTTCTAAACTCCATCCTCCTATGGTTGGCCCTCCATAATTGATGGAGAAAGCGTCGGGTCAATGGGGAAAGAAGCCCTTCGTATAAATGTGTGATCTTCACCCAAATGAACTAATCATCTCCTGCAAACTCCCCTCCCCTTCGCTCCTCTTTATTCACCGTCCACCTGTGGCTTTACTCCTGAGTCGACCCTTGTTCCTTAGCTGTTCCCTTCTCCTGGTAGCCCTCCGCATGTGCACCCTGGGAACAGGCTCCAGCTCTTCTTCTGCCCCACTGATGTCCGACTCCGAAGGCAACTGACAACTATCAGACAGCCCTGGCCCCCTCTCTGCCTCTGACGCAGAGCACTCGATAGACTCCAGGACTGGCCCATGTTCCTCCCCAACCTCCTCACTGTCCGAATCTGCTGCCAGATCCGCTGGCGGGCCACAACACAATGAATTGATGGAGAAAGTGTTGGGTCAACAGAGAAAGAAGGTCTTTTCTGAAGACTCTCCTTCTAAGATGGCCCTCCTTGACCTTCAAAGAATCACTCCAAGATGGTCAACGCTGGCCACCTTAGCTAGGAGCATCCTAACCAACATTGCCTCCATAATCCTTGCTCCTCAAGCTTTGAGGCTGGTCCTCAGCTTCAGATATGGAGCTGCTGAGCCCCCTTCTTTCATTTTCAAAGCACAATTGTGGATTCACTTGACAATTTCGTTCAACAACAGAAGCCGAAATCATTGATCAGCCAAGCTTTGGGATCAATCTAATCATTCGCATCTGTTCCAACCTTGGCCATTTGTCCTGGGATAAACGGGTAAGGAAACTCTCCACCACATATTGAAAAATTGGAAAAAAATATTTCCGTGTTCCCTAATTCGATTTTGCCGGCCTTGTCAGCTTTGTCTTTGTCGTCATTATTATTTAATGTTTTCAACCCAAATCCATTGGGCTACAGGGGGTTTTGATAAGGAATTTCGTATGGAAAACTAGAATTCTGACGGCTTTGGGGAAAAGCCGAGATACGGGTAGGCCTCCACGTACAACCGTTTGTTTAGTGTCCGTTCAAGTTACAATGGCAACAAGGGTGTTTCTAACACCGATGACCAGAAGTGGTATTCAGCCGGTTCATACTGGTTCGTGCGAACCGGTAGTGGAGATCGCGGGTGAGCCTGGCCATCCTATTTAGGCACGGTCTTGAGGCCGGGTGCATGCGTGGAAGCACGCGTGTGAGCAAAGCGCGTGCGTGGAAAGCCGGGCACATGTACGGAAGGTGTACACGCGTGAAGCGCGTGACCCCTCCGCCCCCTGCCTTTTATCCCCAGAGCTAAGGTGCGGCCTCACTAGCAGCAATAGTTCTTCCGTCCCAAGGACCAGCTCATAGATTTCTACTGCTCTCCTCTCCTCTGCCTTCTGTGCATCCACTCATCAGGCACAGGACCCAGCTGTTCCTCCTGTTCCTCATTAGCCACCTCCAGTCCTGGGAGCTGTTGACTCTCCACCGGAGGGCTAACAGATGGCCCAGGCTCCGCCTCTCTCTCTCTCTGTCAGCTCCATTTCCTCTTCCCCCTTGGAGCTTCAACTTGCCACGCCTCCTTTTCCTCCTCTGATTTGGTTGCTGGAGGGGCCGGAGGCCGACAGGCCACAACAAATGGGGGAAGCTGGATTCACTTACCAACCATGTGATTTACTTAACAACTTCAGGGATTCACTTAACAACTCTGGCAAAAAAAAAGGCCGTAAAATGGGGCAAAACTCACTTAACTTTCTCGCTTAGCGACATCAATTTTAGGCTCAATTCTCATAAGTCAAGGACTAACTGTACGTAAATTCATTTCAGACTGGTTTATACAGGGTAATCCTCAACTTACAACAGTTTGTTTAGTGGCCGTTCGAAGTTACAACAGCACTGAAACAAGAGACTTATGACTGTTTTTCACACTTATGAGCGTCACAATATCCCCGTGGTCACATGACCCAAATTCGGACGCTTGGCAACTACTTCATATTTATGACAATTTTCGTGTCCCAAGGTCACATCATCCCCTTTTGCGACCTTCTGACAAGCAAAGTCAATGAGGAAGCCAGATTCACTTAACAACCGTATTGCTAACTTAACAGCAGTGATTCACTTAACAGCCGTGGTAAGAAAGGTTGTAAAACAGGGTAAAAGAAAGGTATATGGAATGACTTAATGTATGTGTCAATGAACAACATAAATTTTGGGCTCAATTGTGGTCGTAAGTCGAGGACTGCCTGTATATATAATTATTATTATTTTTTTTGTATATATAATTTTTTCACTTGGTTGTTATTTTGCAAATATTGGCTTCTCAGTGTTGTGGCCCGTACGCAGCCTATGCAGCTAGTAGCTGATTCAGACAGCGAGGAGGCTGGTGTGGTGCTGTGCCAGCAGCCTGTGCAGCTGGCACTCGAGTTAGACAATGAGGAGGCTGGAGAAGATGTGGTGCCAGAGGCAGGGATTCAGCCAGGGCCTTCAGAACCTCCAGAAGCTCCTTTAAGTGAAGAGGACAAAGAGGAGGAGCCTCTTCTCAATGCACGGGCGTGCAGAGCTGCCAAAAGGCAGGAGTGGCTCCTCAGGAGGAGGTCTCCTCGAGAGTAAGGCTTGGGGCTAATTGGCCACTCCCTTAGCCTATTTAAAGACGGACGATGACTGAGGCAATTTGCAGGGAACAACTTAGTTCACATACCTTTGTGTCTTGTCTTGCTTATTTTATCAGCTTCCTGCAAATTGCTTCTGGGCATTCTGCCAACCATAGTAAGCTTTCAGTTATTATTCTTTGAATTCTTGGCGGCTGTTAATGCAAGTAATTAACAGCCGTTGTTGTAAAAGACTGGTTTATTTAGTAAACTAAGGTTTGAATGGACTTTGTGTGTGCTGCGTTCTTTGGTGTCCGTAGCTGGGGCAGAACACTCGGGAATTGTAACCCAGTCTGTCTGAAATACAGATGTAGGGAATGTTTGCGGAGAACAAATCTTCTTAAGATTCTTGGCGTAATCTTTATAGAGTGGGTCTCTCAGGACAGGAGGTTAAGTAAAAAGACGGGTCCTATTTAGCCAAGTTTTCTAAGCCGCTCACATGCGTGCAAGCCGCACGTGTGAGCAAACCGTATGCGTGCACGCTCACATTTTCTATGCGCAGCGAACCGGTGGTAAAATTATGTGAAACCGACCTCTGGTTGGGGGGGGGGTCAGTTTTTGTGAGGTCTCGGCCATTATCTCAGTTTGTCCTACCACCTTAATAAGCCTTAAGATGGTTTGTCGGTTACCACTCTATCTGCATAGAGCAGTTCAACTTCATTAATCATGGTTTGAGTTTAGCGGGTTAGTGGTTCAGACCAGTTCGAGCAAACCGGTAACGCCGAGCCCCGGCGCTATTGCCGTCCTAGTTAGCCACTTTTTCTAAGCCGCGCGCCTGCGTGCAAGCCACACATGTGAGCAAAGCTCACATTTTCGGTGCGCGGTGAACCGGTGGTAAAATTATGGGAAACCCACCTCTGGTGGCAAGGATGAATCTATTATTCCTACGACTTATAAAATGTTACTGAAATTGAATTTGGAAAATGAAGAAGTAAAAAACATTGTACGATCCAGTGGGCAAGGAATTTTGGAGATAATGGGAAGCTTGAACAATGGGAAAATATGTGGACGAAAGGTTTAACATTTACATTAAATCATCATCTAAAAGAGACGGAGAGAGTCGGAATATTATTATGTGTAAGCAAACTGACCCCAGATAATATACTGTTCACAAAGCACTTGTATATGTAAAAGAAAAATGTATAAATAAAATATAACATGCTTCTTTTTCTCCCCCCCCCCATCTTTCCTCACTTCACTTCCCCCTTTCCTCTTCTTCAGAGGTGGTATTCAGCCGGTTCGGACCAGTTTCGGCAAACTAGTAGCGGTGACCTGCGGGTGGCCCCCCCCCCCCCCCCCCCCCTCCCCATCCTATATCTCTGTGTTTTTGATGCTGCATGCATGCATGGATGGCACGCGCGAGCGAGCGAATTGCTGTGTTTTGAGATGCCTCACGCATATGCAGATGGCGTGCGAGTGAAATGAGCGTGCACGCGCTCACATTTCCGGTGCTGGGCGAACCAGTTGCTACAGTATGTGTGAATCCCACCTTTGCCTCTCCCCTCACTGTTCTTCTATTTACTTTTGTATTTTGTATTGTATAAGACTCTATATGACTTAATAAAAAAAATTCGATTGAGAGGAAAAAAAAAAGGACACGTGGACTTCAACTCCCAGAATTCCCCAGTCCAAAATGGCCTCCCCGTTTGCGGCCTATCCATCTTTAACGCAGCTCATTTTTTACGACGGTCCCTGGGAACCGCCGCCCTGAATTTTGGCAAGAGTCCTCGACGTACGACCACAATTGGGATCAGAATTTCAGTTGCTAAGCCGGGCGATTAGGAAGTGTGCCGCGCTCAATTTTTACCACCTGTTCGGTCTCTGTTGCTAAGCGAATAACTGCGGTTGTTAAGCGAATCACATCCTCGCTAAGCTTTCCCATTGACTTTGTTCGTTGAACTCTGACTGGGAAGGTTGCAAATGGCGGCCACGTGACCAGTGGTGGGATTCAAATAATTTAACAACTGGTTCTCTGCTCTAATGACTGGCTGGGTGGACGTGGCCATGGTGGGCGTGCCCAGGGGGTGTGACAGGCAGCACTTGGCCTCCTGCACCCCCCTGGGGGCAAAAACAGGCCAAAGGGGATGCACCGCCCCCCCCACGCCCTGGTTTGGGCCTAGTAGGCCTCCCTGCAGCCTCCTGGGAGCAAAAACGGGCCGTGGGAATTCCTGGAAGGGGCGGGACCAGCCAGCAATTTAACTACCAGTTTGCCGGAACCAG